TTATGACAGTCATTCTGACAGGTGTGAGGAGCTATCCAATTGTGGTGCTGATTTGCATCTCCCTGATAATTAGTGATGTTGAGCTTCTTTTCATGTATCTGTTGGCCATCTCTCTGTCCTTTTTGGAGAGATGTCTGTTCAGGTCCTCTGCCCATTTTTTAATTGGATTGTTTGGGGGATTTTTTGGTGTTAAATTGTATGAGTTCCTTAAATACTTTGGATATTAATTAACCCTTTATCTGATATATAATTTGCAGATCTTTTGCCATTCAGTAGGTTTTCTTTTCATTTTGTTGGTTTCCTTTGCCATACAAAATCTTTTTAATCTGATGTCCCATTTGTTTATTTTAGCTTTTATTTCCCTTGCCCAATGAGATATACTCAAAAAGATATTGCTAAGATCTATGTCAAAGAGTTTACTCCTTGAGCATACTTTTAATAGCTGTTTTAAAGTCATCGTCTGCTAATTTGACCATGTCTGCCATTTCTTGGTCTGTTTCTTTTCACTGATTTTTCTCCTGTTTATGGATTACATTCTTCTGCTTCTTGGAGTGTCTAGTAATTCTGATGGGATGTTAGATATTATACACTGAGTGTCTAGATGTGGCTTCCTTTAAAGAGGGTTGGGTTTGTTTCGGCTGGTATTAAATTGCTTACAGATCACCTTAACCCTTTCAAGACTTGTTTTTAAGCATTGTTGGGATGGGTTCAGGGTAGCCCTACTACTTATGCCTGAGCCTTCTGGAATCTTAACTCTGGCTGTTTGAAATTCAAATGTCTTCCAGCACTATGTCAGCTCTGAGAACTATCCGACTTACAGATAACCTGTAATTCCTTGCCTTTTGGAGTTTCACCCTATACATACACAATTAAGTTTTTAGCAACAGATTCAAGGGGACCCCCTTTTAGATTTCTGGGGCTCTTTCTCTATGTATATTTCTCCTCTCCAGTATTTTGACTCCCAAATTCCAGCCACCTCAGTCTATTCAAACTCCATGGCCCATGTATTCCGAATTTATCATTTTTGTTAATTCAATTAGTATTTATGGAGCCTCCACTATGAGCCACAAAATTCTCAGGCATTTGGGATATGTCACTGAACCAAACAGACAAACATCCCTGTCCTCCTGGCATGTGTTCTTTGAATTTAGACTGTGGTGATGATTCCACATCTCTGAATACACTAAACACTACTGAGCTGTGTACTTTAAATGGGTGGATTTATGGTCCATGAACTATATCTAAATGAAGATGTGAAAAAGACTTCTTTGGGATATGACAATCTATACAGTGCTCTCCTCTGTAAATATATATGTTTAAAATTTCCACAATAAAAAGTATAAGTATACCTTATGGCATCCATCAAGATGATCTCTTTTAACCCATTAAGGCAATAAATTATATTAATAGATTTCCTAATGCTGAACTGTCTTCGTATCTGAAATAGATCCCCCTTTTCGGTCATGGCATAGTTTTTGTAAATACACTGAAAAATCAACTTGTGAATATTTTATCTAGGGCTTGTGCATCCATATTCATAAATGATAAAGGTCTGTAATTTTTTTTTTTCCTGCTTTGCCAATGCTCAGCAATCCCTTCTTGTGAAACCCCTATTATTTTAGTTAGGCTCATGACCACACAGAATAATGTGTTTCTTGTGTCACTGCAGCTATTTGTGGCCATGCGAGTTCTTGATTATAAGATACAGGCAGAAGTGTCATATGGCAGCTTCTAGAAACTGTAATAGACATGGCACCTGGCTTTGACCTTTTCCTTATCCTGCTGGCATGCAGATATGATGACTAGAACTAGCTGGTACTCTCATGAAGGTCACGAAGACCAGGGCCACACTCTCGGAAAGGTGGTGTGGTGAGCTGGAAGTGGCTTAGGTCGCTGAGATTTCGTGGCTTTGAGCTGCTCTGCCAGCTCTGTACTGTCTACCTGTGGACATCTATGAGTCTTATTTAAACCACACTAACTTTGGTGACCCTTAGAGCTAATCCTGATCCCAACTGACATGGCAGATTTCGAGGTTAGGGCCGCGGTGGCTTCACAGAGTAAGTGGGGAGGCTTTTCTACCTTCTCCCCAGCCTACAGCAGTTTAAATAGCAGGGCACCCATTTGACCCCAGAAGCTTTGGTAAAAACCTGTTGCAAAACTGTGGACCTGGCACCTTTTTTATGCCATCTCCCTGGCAATTTTTTCAGTTTCTTCCCTAGGCTATCATTTTATTCAGATAAGTTCCTTTTTGTGCAGTTACTTTGCATTTTATTGACGTTTACAAATTTATTAGCAGGAAAGGCACGTACTGTAATATTATAATTCTTATCAGGCTCTTTTATTCTGAAGTTGTTCCTAGTGGTACATTTTGTTTTGTTCTATTAAAGATCTGCCAACTGAATTAGTCTTTTCAAAGTACTGACTCGTGGGTTGTTTCTGCTTTCATTTAATTTCTACTTTTATCATTATTCTCTTTCTCAATTGTGTTGTTTTTCTAGACATTTAATTTGAATGCCTAACTCATTCTCTCTGAACATTGAAGGCTATGAATTTTGCTCTGACTGCAGCACTGGCCGTAGTGCAAAGCTCTTGCTATATATTTAAATTTAAAAAGGTCTGTAAATGAAGTTTTGGTTTCCTCTTTGAAGAATGTTACATAATTTACAAGTGCTTAAATTGAGTTCGATTTTCCTTTTGGTATTAATTTCTAATTTTATTGTGCTATGGGAGATTATGTAGCTTGGGCAATTTCTACTTGTTAAAACTGAGATTTTCTTTGTGGCAAAAATATATAATTGTTGAAAATTTTCCATGGATTAAAAAATAAGTATTTTCGGTAGGATATAAAGAAACATGGTGAAAATTTTAGAAAGTACTCATTTCTTAAATTTGATCTTTTTATGTATTGGGTTTTGAATTTGGGTGTTCTTAATGCGTACCGATGTTGAAACTTTTTTTAAAGTGAATATTTAAAAAATATCTCTGGTGTTGCCAGGAAGCAGTATGTGTGGGCTGCTGGCCAGCCGCCCCCGGCGGCCCAGCCAGTGGGAGGCTCATCTGCAGACAGGAAAGCTTGTTCTGTTTTTATCACATAAGACCCAGAAGTGGTGGTCTTGAAGCTCTAGTCCTTGACTGAGGCAGGAGACAGTGACCCCTGAGAAAGGAAGTGAAACCCCACCTTGGGGGGCCCTTGCCGAACAAACCCTGCCTCTCAGCGACCCTCCTCTCAAGCTGCTTCTCCGCAGGGTCTCAGGCCGAGCCTCCTGCCACAGCAGAAAGGCAGCCAGGGGCCCAAACACAGTTAATGCACGGGGCTGGTGGCCCCTCCCTGCCACACAGTTAGTACACGCACAGCCCGGGGTCGGGGCCTGACTCTGTGGCGCCCCCGTGCCCACCTCAGGTCCACAGCAGGGCTCTGAACACCCCCGAGCGGGAGGGCCCACCTCCCTGCAAGTTCCAGGGCATTGGGGAGCCGCAGCACCGGCCCCCAGCGCAGCACCGGCCCCCAGCACAGCACGGCCTCGCCAGCCCGCCCCAGCGACTCTCAAACGGAGGACGAAAGGGATACAGCACAGCTGTCGCCAAAGTTTATTCTAGGTGTTGACACTTCTTTCTGGGAAAACCACAACTTAGACTTTCTAAGCGCCTGGATAGTCAGTGACGGGAGAACCCAGCCCGTTTTCCTTGGCGGCTGCAGCCAGGGAGACCAGCACTCCAGTGGCTTGAAGGTGAGCCCGTTTCTCTCTCCTGTGACGATGACACAGGGCGGGGAGGGCGGAACGTTCCTCTTGCATGTTCTTTGTGTCCGGCATGGTCTAGGCAGGGACGTGGGTCCGTGCCTGGTCCGGCCTCCAGTGGCCCACATCCTCCTGTCACATGACCGCACCCAGCTACAAAGGAGTTGGAAATAAGTCCCTCGCCAGGCGGGCATGGGTCCATGGCAACAAACCATTTCTGAACGAGAAGGGGGAGGGGGGAGCACGGGTGATCGGCCACGGCCCCGATCACGGCACGTGGGGGTGATCTCAGGCTGAGCCAGGCTCTGTGAGACTCCAGTGGGGAAGGCAGGCACCAAGTCAGGGTTGCAGGTCCTCACCAGACACCAGGTGGGCGTGGGACAGGGACTCTGGACACACCCAGGCTCGATGCTTTGGCTTTTTTTTAACGTTCATTTCTGATTTACTTCACCTTTGCTCGAACGCACACCGCAGCTGAGAATGGAGCCAAGGGCCAAAACGCATTACTGCCTCAACGGGCGTTTCCAAAACGACGTGTGTCAAACTCACGGTTCACACTTCCCTCCCCTCCCCTCCCCCTCCTCTTGCTCCAGGGGGAGACTCGGACAGCCCTGTGCCTCCCAAGCGGAGCCCTAGCTCCAGCCAGCCGTGCTGCAGAGGGACAGCTGCTGTCCAGGACACCCAAACACCCGAGTGTCCCTTAACCAACGATGGAGGTGTCTGGCCACGAAAGGGAAGGGAGTGGCCAGCCCGGCCCAGAAGGAAGTGGTAAAGGTGGCTGGGCTGCTGGCAGCTCTTTAGGTAATAATTATTCCCTAAGGAGAGTACTCACCATATTTATATCCACAAAATGTGTTTACTAAAGAAATGACATAGCAATACACATCCAAACCATTTCTCGAAATTCTCATTTAGCTTTGTTTTATTAAAAATGATTTCTCCCTTTGAAATTTCCCAGAAGTATGGCCTTTGTTTTCTGCTACTTCAAACACATCATCAAAAACAGATCGTTACAGTCATGTGAGCGTAGAAGGAGATTTATAAGCCAGAACTTTACTGTGGGAACCAACCTTTAGATGACCCAGTGAGTAAGCTGTATCACTTTCCCTGGTGATGCCGTGGGATAAAGCTGTGCCTGAGTCAGGGCTGTCTGTCCTCAGCATCACAGACGCTGTCCCCGGACGATGGCGGCACGGCCTGGGCTGTCAGCCAGAGCCCACCCTGCGGAACCTGCGCAGCAGGGAAGGCCAGGTGCATGCGAGGCACAGGACCTACTTCCGAGGCCTCGACGACCGTGGACTGACGAGAGTGGCAGGGTTGGAAGGAAGAAATGGGCCGTGACAGGCGCACAATACACCGTGGACCGCACAGGGAGGCTGAGGAGGAATGGCTTCAGGCCCAGAGCCCCTGGCCTGAACACAGGTCCCTCGGTGGGTCGGAGGCAGGTCGTCACCCACCGCCCGGGCACACCGACCGTCTCCTGCTATGCAGAACCCCCAACAGCATCAGGCGCGGACACACGTCCCCGAGTCACCCTGCGTGTACACACGTCCTGGGAACACAGCCGCACACGACTTTACACCCGTTCCCGAGACTGAGGAACACTGCAGCACCGGCCATGTCACCGAGTCCCCTCACTTCTAGGAGAGCAAGGGATACTTTTTTCCAGTTTTCTAAAACTTTTAAAGTTACTGTGAAAAATGTAAAAGACTACAGAACACAGCGGGGAACATGCGACGGATTTCCAGTGGAGGCAGCTCTGCACTCCTTGGCGGGTACCTGCTCACGTCACAGCGGCGAGCATGCCTGTCACCGAATGTGTCCTCTGCTGTCCTGAGGCCACACCTGTTACAGGCCAGGGAGGGTGTCCCTGACCCCAGGGCCTCACTTGGTAGCAGCAAAGTCACACTGCTGCTCCATGTCCTCGGGCCCTGAAGGGAGCAGGGAAGCCATGAGTCAGGACATTCTGCTTTCTGGGAAGTGATCTTGCCGAGAACATTAAGGAATCCTGATGGATTTCAAAGAAAAGTCTGACAAGAGGCATCACTAGACGCAGAGCCTCAAGGAAGGAGGACACAGGTGATTGTCATCCCAGGGCTCGGGTCCACTTCTGACACAGAATCATCCACAACACTGCCCGTGTCGCTGCCGGCCGCGTCTCCGCCTGGCCTCCCTTGGGTCAGTAACCTCCTGAGCTACACCCTGCAGAGCTTCAGTGGGAAGTTCTCCGCGATGAGGTGGTCGCCTTGAAGGAGCACGACGATGTTGACCTCAAATTCTGAGAAGACAAAGGACAGGCCTTACAACTCGAGCAGCAGCAACCAAGCGCCAGCCCCCCGCCCGCAGGCAGCGAGGGAGCCCGGGGCCGCGGGGGTCTCGGTGCTGGTGGCCCACAGGTGTCATCCATCCTAAGCCCCCAGGAGAACCGTGAAGATGGCTGCACGGCTGTCTGCTGCACTTGCTCAGATAAGTCTGTCTTCTCACCTGGGAGCAGAAAGGCAGCAGCTTCCCCAACCACACTTTCCTTGTCCTTCGTCTTTAATACAGAGAACCTTCTAGAACCCTTTCAAGCCACAGGCTCTTTGGCTTTACTTTGACATTTCCTACAGCTTTTAAGGGGACAGCAGACTGCAGGCGGCCTGCAGCTGTCTGGGTGCCCACGCCCCGGGTGAATCCACGTTCAGGACACGCTCCGTTTAGCTGGTGCTGCCGTGGAGAGCGTCAGTTTATCTGAAACACCTGTTCAAACGTGCGTCTCCGACCTTGCCGCAGACAGGGTTTCTCCACCAGCTCTTTGGCGCTGGGGCTGGCCTTCCCGCCAGCAGGAGGGCTGCGTGACGAGGGAGCTCCCCGAGGAAGACAAGCCTGTCTCCTGAGGTGAAGGAGCCCCCCGCTCCCCGCTGCAGAAGCTCCGCAGTGGGAGGGGCTCGGGGCACCTCATGCAGCTGGAGTCCTGAGGAGCACGTCCCGGGTGTGGCCGCTCGCCCTCCCGAGCACCGTCCAGGACAGCGGTCACACCCAGCAGTGCCGCCCTGTCTCTCTCCTGACTTAGCCAATCGCCACGGCACCAGCACGGCCCTCAGGACCCTCCGTTCCCCCAGCCGCCTGCTGTCCTCCCTGGGAGGGGCAGGGTGGCTGCAGTGGACGGAGGACACCAAGCGCGCAGGCTGGGCCAGGGCAGAGCACATGTGGCAGAGCGGCTGCGTCCGTGTGGCCTCCGGGCCCAGCCCCTACACTCCGAGCGAGTCTCCGCGGGAGGCCTGACCATGCGTGTGACGTCACCTGTGGTCAGCGCTCACCCAGATGCTGCTCCTGCTGCGGGACATGGGGCCCACCCCTCCGAGACTCGGAGCCTCCCCTCGGCCAGCCACGCGGGCAGCCACCCCAGGGCCCGCCACGCTGCAGGCTCAGTCGTGCCCGCTCGCCCCCTTTTCCGTGGGGGCTCCCTAACCGCATGCGTCGTTGGGCAAGCCCCAAACCAGACTGAACCGCCACCGGGCACGAGGACAGGAAAGCACTGGTGTCTCGGCGGATGGACCGAGGGCGTTATTTCTCTGGAAGAATCAGAGGCGCCGCATGAAGAGTTAAATGGATACTTTGTAAAATGCATAGAAATAACGTGAAAAAATTTAGTTGCTTAGTGAATAGCACAGCACAGAAAATTTTTTGGACCTTTCTACAGTTTATGCAGGAAAATCGAATTGAGAGAAATCAACAGTGAAGTTCCTCTTCAACTTAAAATCAAAGCATTCTGAAGTAAAAAAGTAGCATCTCCAGACCGCCATGTGCGGTGTGCCAGGGACTGCGGTGCTAGTAGCCGCAGGAGCATCTCCAGCAGGACGCGTGGGAGGCCGCGGGCGGGTGGCCTCGGGGCAGTCCAGGCCCCTGCGCTTGGGCTCTGTGCTGAGGGCACATACCGCCCAGTCCACAGCGACCACACACGCGCCTTCTAGGAAAAACTGTGGTACCCTGGCTTGGGTCAAGTTTGACCCAATGTGGTCTCTCGGAAGATGTCACCGCCCTTTTACGTGGGGCAAACAGCTGGCTCTGTTGCCCTCTTTGCTGACCCCATGTGCTCTCAATGCAGTGTTTCAGATGACGCACCAGGCTCCACGCACATCGCCTGTGCTTCTAACCCACGGGCGGTCGGAGCTCCAGGACTCACACCCACGTAGGCCACAAGAAGGTCCAAGAGGCGCCCACGATTCAGCGGCAGATGCGACAACCTTTCCCTCTCTTTAAAAAACATCACCTGCTCAACTCTGGCAATGAAACGGTACTCACATACATTTTACATTTGGAATTGTTTGAAGTGAAATCATGCTCTAACTAAAACAAAGATTCTGGACTAAAAATAATGCACCTTTAAAGTTAGGGGGACTGTGACATTCATACGAAGTGGTGGCGTCACTATGTCCCCATTTCTCCGTGAAGCGGGCATGCCAGCAGAAGCAGTTACCAGACCCCATCACACTGGTTACCAGTGAGCCTCAGGCATGGCACAGACGGTGTCCCCAAAGAGCCCAGGCTGCACGATGCCTAACGGTCATAGAACTGTCACATTTTGGGTCTCTGTCAAATGCCAGCCTATCAGAGGCACCGAGCTGCCTTGTCCCTTGTTAGTTCGCTTCACAGAGCTCATCGTCCCTGCCCTGGCCCACAGGGACGGGGTTACTGCTGCCTCCCTGGGTGACACCCCACCCCCACACGGCAGCTTCTCACGGAGCTGGAGGAGGAGTGCTCAGCTGTACTTGACCCGAGCAGACCGGTGTGTCTGTCCCAGGCACCAGGTGGCCCGTCTGCGGGCCGCTTGCCAGCCCCGGCCGTGAGGGCAGGGAGCCGGGCGCTTACCCACTCTGAAGTTGGTGGTCTCCAGCGTCGGGCAGGTGAACAGCCGGGGGAAGACCATGTATATGGGGACTGAGAGGCTCCGACACACGTCCCCATCAGCGATCTGAATATTCTGGATCTCTGTGGCATCGCGGGCGTACCCTTCTGCACACCCTGGGGACGGTGGAGCACGTCGGTGGTCAGAAAGGAGCCACGTCCGAACATGCTGATCAGCAGACGCTCTGTGACTGAGGATCTGCATCCGCTCCCTCGCCCACGTCCCCCGTCTGCTCCCCGAGGTTCTCGAGAGCCCCCTGCCCTCCCCGCCTCACTGTCCTCAAGCACGTTCTCGGAGTGGAGGGCACTTGTGCTGCTGCCGCGCCCGCCGAGGGCGGCAGAGGCCCTTACCGCACGTCTCCACGCGGACCAGCTGCAGCTCGATGCTCCTGATGGCGGCCTCCGAGCTCTCCACCACCAGCTCCCCTGTGAGCGGCTGTGTGATAACGCAGTTGGTTGAGTTGAGGTGTCCTCTGATGAGGAATTTGGGGAGCAAGGCTCTCTAAAACAAGATGAAAAATACATCGGGACTGGAAGGTGCCAGGGGAAATGACTCGATGGTCACTTTGGTACAAATAAAAACTGGAAGCAAAGTTGGATAATTTTTGTAAAACCCACTGGGACCCTGTTTTACAAAATGGGGGAGAAGGTACAACAGTAGTTACATCTTCAGTCGACGTAACTGACAGACCGAACGTTCAAGCTCTCTGACAGGCAGCAGGCATCCGGCACTCCGCACAGGGCGGCGGGGTCGCTCACGAAGAAATGACATAAAAATGTCTGAGGAAGGATTTAAGGACAACCAGTCACGAAAAAAGATAACCAATTTACAACTGTTTCCAATAATACAATTTTTAAAAAGTCAAGACATTTATTTCAAGGACATTTAAAGAGAACAATGCTCTTCAATGCTTGACCATAAGCCTCTGTAGACAGAGGAAACAGGTCCCAGCTGAGTGATGATGTCCTTGTGGGAGAAACAGATGTAAAGAGACAATTGTAGCCGTCTTCACCTCTGGCTGCGTCCCAGTAACTGAAGATCATTCAGAGTTTGGAACACTGCTGTCCGACAGAAACAATACAAGCCATGATGTGAACCACATAGGTCATTTAAGTTTTTCTAGTAGCCACATTTTAAAAAGTAAAAGGAAACAGGTAAAATTAACTGATACATCCAAAACATTACCACTTCCATGTATAATCGATATTTAAAAATTACGATGTTTACGTTCTCTTTCATACTGAGCCTTTGAGACCCTAACTTTACACTCACAGCTCGGCTCGGCTCAGACCAGCCCCAGACCAGCCCCATGTCAGTGTTGGGGGCCCACCTTACGGACAGCACTGAGGAGCCAGGGGGCCCGGGGCAGAGAGCCCTAGAAGCCTCGATTTGAGATTTTAGAGTTCTAAAAATAACTAAAAGTTAAAGAAACTATTTGTTTTTTAAAAAAATAAGCAGTAGCAGTCTCCATTAAAAAGTCTTTCAGGCCACTGAAGAGAAAAGCTCTCGCTGCCCAGCTGAAGATCGTCACTGCCGCCGCCTCCCCTCCCGTCCCCTCCCCTCCCCGACGTGCACACACGAACGCCCAGCGAGGCTGCGCGACGCCCCGGAGCCTTCCCAGGGAAGCGTTTCCGTGAGATAAAAGTGGACCCACAATGACATCGAGTCCAGGGCACTGTGCCCTGCAGCTGGCAGAGAGCTGAGTGAGCGAGTGTTCCCAGCAGGCCCTGGGCACTGCGTAGAGGTGGGGGCCCACCCAGGGAAAGGCAGGTACAGCATCAGAGGGTGGTGAAACTGGCTGTGTGCAGCCAGGTTCGTGCCACCCCAGGCTGGCACCGCACCTTCCCACAAGGGGGACTTCCCACCAAGGAGACTCCCAAAGCAGGCAGGGCCAAGGCCCCATGTCACTTACAGCCCCAGTGCCGGAGCCCCTGGACCCAGAAGACAAACCACCTGCACACCCTAAAAGAAAGCACGTGGGGCCAAATGCCTCCGTCCCCTGTGCAACACTCGGAGCAAAGCCCCTCTGGTCAAAGTGTACTGTGCGTCCATAATCAGAAGAACATTCTCATCTGAGCTACGGAGAGAGTCTAGTTAACAAGGTCTTTATAAATATAAACGGACAACCAAGAATCAACAAACAGCTGAGAAAAATAAAGGAAAAAGAGGCACACACTCTCTAAGAACCAACTCCGCGAGAAACAGCATCAGTAGGAGGTAGGGGGGAAGGGCTCTGCATTTGTGGTAACATGGAAAAGGAACCGTGCTCAGAAATGAATCACACTGGTGTTGAGTAAACATTCCAACAGGAGAGCTAAATGCCAGCCGAAGAGCACATCAGCGAGCTGGAAGACTGAGCCAGGGGCCCCTGCGGTGCGTCTGGGAAATGATGAGAGACGAGCACAGGGCTGGGGGAAGGTTCAGCCTTTGGCATGAAAGAGACCCCCAAAGGCCAGGCACACAGATGAGAGGATCCACACCTGGGCGAGTGCTCTGAAACTTCAGGTGTCGGAAGTTGTCGGGGGTGGGAGGGGGTAAGGAGAGGGAGAAACAATCAGCCCACACGCACCTGAGAATCACAGTCATCAGTATCACTAGGCTCTAGAAAACCAGGGAGCTATTATTCAAAGTTCTAAGGGCTAATGACATTAGAGCTAGAATTTTCTACCTAGACTGAGATTCAGGTGTGAGGGCGAAGTAAGATATTTTTTAGACACTCAAGGACTTAGGTTCACTCCTCACCCTTTCTGAAAGATTGACTCTAGGATGTATTCCAGCTAAACAAAAAAAAAATTGAAGAAGGAGAAAACACAAGTGAGTAGAATCAATGGCGAGCAGTGAGCGTGGTAAAACTTAACCGGGCTAAATAATGTGACTGTTATACTCCAGGCAACTTATTAAGAAATGGTTTCTGAGCCAATAAAGGCTTAACACTGGGGAAAATAAAACTGATGACAAGCTGGGACTTCAATTTAAGATGATTTCAACAAACGGGGGGTGCGGGGGAGATGCAAAAATGCTACAAACCTGCCAGAAGGTCCCTTTTCTCAGGGTTGTTATGTAAACTTATATGTCTGGACATTTGAGGGTAACTACTAGGAAACAGGATGCGAGAGGGAAAAGGAGCAAACAACAGCAAGAACAGAAACAAACCAAATCCTCACAACCTTAGTGAATCAGGCTAAAGACGGGAAACAAAGAATAAAGTATGTCAGAGAATGCAGAACAAGATGAAAGGAACAAAACAAATGCGACGGTTTTCCAAGTGAAAAAGAACAGGTTACATTCCTCTATTAGGGACTGCGTTTCAAAAATTCTTGCTAGAAGCTGTTTACAGAGACACCTGCAATGCATCTGCTAACATGTGCTCTGAACATGAGCACCTCTTCCCCATCCAGCCTGTGACCAAGTTTTCTATCACTTAGACTCTTCAGAAGTAAGAAATAGAAACATGTTCTAACCAACTTAAGAAAAAGTAGGGCTAACGGGGACACGGCTGGGCAGTTCTCAGGCTAACCGGCTGAGGCCTGGGAGGATGTGGGACAGCGTGCGGCTCAGCAGGGGGCCCGGGCCCACCTCTACCCACTCCCCACGCAGGCTTCCATTCACGGCTCTGGTTCCTGCGGGAGAAACATCGGATTGGCCCACCAGGGTCGTGTGCGCTCCAGAAACTGAAGCGAGCGGCGATGGTAAATGGCCTTCCTGAAATGCCCCCTTCGGCACAGCCTTGCCCCAGCTGTGCTCCCGAGGGGCGAGGCCAGCATCATCCTGTGCCCCAGTCCTCCCAAACTTGCCTTTAACCTGTCCGGCGAGCAGAGGGCAGGATGAGAGCAAGGACGAGCCGCCATGGCCACGGGTGACAAGAGACTACCAGGTGGCCAAGTGTAGGTGGTGGCAACTCTGAGAAATCAAGGGGGTGCGGCCACCGTGACAGGTGGCGGTGCAACGGGATCACGGCAGGTCTGGGCTCACAGTGCGATAAAACTGGGAGAAGGTGTGAAAAATAATAAACATACCGTCGCTGAGAAACTTCAAAAGTGTTAGTCTTCTAAGTGGTTACTGAGTAAAAAAAAAAAAATCAAAATGGAAAATACAGACTATTTTGGGAACAGACAATCATCGGGAATTTCCTCTTGATACCCAAATACAGAACCAGGCAGCAGTCAGTCGTGGGTGGGATCCGGTTACTAAGGAGACGCCCCTGGTGGTCATGTGGCAGCAGCATGTTACCTCTTTGACGTTCTGTAAGGTTTCAGGTGTGATGGTGAAGTCCACAGGACTCGGAGTCAGTTTCCCCTTCTGAGGCTAAAACAAGAGAGAAAACCAAAATCA